ATTTGTTTACCATTACCAGAAATGTTACCTAATTACATTACACAATGTGTGATATAGAAATTTAGTAAAAAAAAGTTGTAATTTGAAACTTAGCTCACTATAATCATACCATATTGAATGTCGTTCATTAACTTATCAAGGTTCAGCAACATGAGAAATTTAATATTTCCATTGGAAAAAAAGAACTAGTGTATACTGCTTCGTAAATTTTTAAAAGTTTAACTAAAGGAATTAAACTTATATCTAATTTCATGCATTTATGCAAATATTGTCAAGACAAAAATTTTTATTCAATATTATTTTCAAATTTTTCCAAGGCAGCCCAAACAAAAAGATATAAAAAACGTAACCTTTGTAGTATAATTCTAACAAACCTTTCCAAAAATATCATCCTTTAATCAAAACTTAATATTTCAAACCTATCGGATTAAACAATATTGGAAAACTTGTAATTAAAAGAGTATGGTAAGCCTATTTTAAAAGTAAATAAGGTATACGAAAACATTATTATATTGCAAATACAAAATATAATTATGAGTTTATTGTTCATAATTAATAATCACATATGAAGGTAGATTATCTAGTTAATATACTTAATTTATACCGTAATAAATAAAATTATATTAAATTTATACCGTGTGAGAATCGTCGTTTATTTTATACCGTCATATCGTTAAAAATAAAATTTCATTAATTATTTCAAACGCGATTTGTCAGCTAACTGAAAAATTAACCAATTTTAATTAGTAATTATTATTTGTAATTAAAAAATTTAATACTAATTTAAATTTTAAAAAAATCACAGGCGTTGATGAAAATAATCCCTTTTAAAAACTTCGAGGAGCAAAATTTGATAATATAAGCTAATTAAACATAGTGACTAACAATATCACAAACAATAAAGGATATACGATAAGTTACCATATAAGATTTCGCTCTATGCATTCTAATATCTTGGCTTTAACACAAACGATTGGATTAAAAATTTATGTCTGAGTTATGTAATAAATAAAATGAATTGTGAAAATCTAACCAAATAAATGATATTTAAATTTCCTAAAACTACAATTTCACTTTACTTTGAGAAGTTAATAGTCATCTTAAGCAAATTTCGTATTTAGAATTTATTAGAGCAGAAATAAACTTACATATAATATACATATATTTATTTAGTACTTATCCTTATAAAATTCGAAGTACATAGCATGTAATTTATATGATTAAATTATTTATTTTTTTTTTTGTGTTTCAAAAAGTGTTAACCTAAATTCCAAGCAATTTTAGAATAAAATTTATTTACATTTTTTTTTTATTTTTGAAAAACTGCTTTTTTTTTTTAAAACAAAAAACTATATGAAAATTTTTAACTATCCATCATTATTGTGGTTTTCTAAAATTGTTCTGTAGAAAGCAAAACCACATAAATATATAAAATTTGAAAATAAATTTAGAATTCTCTATTCTAGGCTACCACTCAAACTAATTTTCGTAGTTTCTAACTTAAAATTTTACAAAATTTCACCCATTATTATTGGATTTACGTACGATTTTCATCCGTTATAGTATATAGTGGGGTAAAAATTAAATGAAAAGTTAAAATATGAAAAATATTTTGTAGGAAAAGTTAGAATGTAATTTATGAAACTTCTCCAAAAAAAAAAAATAAAATAAAAAAAAAAAAAAATGTTTGAATTGAAAATTTTGAAATTTTTCAATTCGTATACATAAAATTTATTTTACATTGTTAATTGAAACTTTTTCTGCTATATGAAAGTTACACATCGGTCATAAAACGATTATAAAGGTATATGATATCCATATAATGCTAAACTAAAAGCAAAAAAGTTTACACTTATACAATCAAGATTCATTTATTTTGTTAAAGTTAAATAACGTTGAATTTATGAAACTAACTATAATTTTTAGTACATACATAAAATGGAAAATAAACTTTTCGAAAAACTAATTCTATTGTTCTAATTAAATACGGGGTAATGCAATCATTTTGACACAAAAATTTTTAACAAAATGAATTTTTTTTTTTATTTCAGATTTTCCAAATATGAATTTTTTAAAAGGATAAAATTTACGTGAGATTTTTTCAAATAAAGTTGGGTCAAACCAATGGTTTGTATTGTAGCACTTTTCACTTCACCAAGTGAAAATATTGCTTTTAAATACAGTCTATGTATTCCTAATATACAATTAAAATTTTTCTCATTCATATTCGAAACTATTTCTAGAATTGCATACATTTAGGATGAACGATTTGAGCAGTTTTTAAAATAAAGCAGAAATTCATTTAAAATGGGGTTAACATAACGCTCGATTTTAAGGGTTTTTTGTTTGAGTTGAGAAAAAGAATTATATTTTTCAATATCATGGAATTTACTTCCTATAGACTCACGATAGACTCACGAACAGACGGATGGACGACGAAGTGAAACTAATAAGTACTTTTTTTCAAAAATTTATTGGAAGAGTGCTAAAAGTATAAAACGGTTAATAAAAAAAGTAATAGTCGTTTGGGGCAAAAACTCATTGGGCATGCAATTTTTTTTGTAGGAAGAGGGAGAACAAGCTCCTAGAAAAAAGTATATCAAAGCATCGCATTTATCTGCGTATTTCATATACGAGATTATTTTCAGCTTTCTTGATAATTTATCAAAATCCTCAGAGATAACAATTGTTAAAAATATTGCCTTGATTTATGTCATATTCGTATTTTTTTATAAAAGGAATAACTTAATAATTAATGTGCTTGACTCTAAAATAAAATATACAGCAATTTCTGTGTCCTATTAATATAATATTATAGAGCAAGATAAGATTTTTTATAGAAAGTTCAATTGAAGTTATATTGTCTTTAAGGGAATCACGAGAAATTTTATGTCAACTTTCAAATGAATGAAAAAATAAAAAACATACGATTTTATAAAAGTTCTACGATACAAACTGTACGTAATTAGCTCAACGAAAAACCATATAACCTTAAAATGTTATCGAATGAAAAATTACAAATGTTATAAAATGAAAGTGTTATAACTATCTTTGCTTTACTTAAATGAAAACTTTTAAATGTAAAAGTATAAAAATGTTATTTTCAACTCAAATAAATATCTTTTCGATAAATATTTATTTTTCCCTTATCTTTTCTAAATGTATAACAACAATTTTTTATCCTTATTTTATTCAAGTATAATATTATTTTCATTGGACAAATTAAACTAGGAAGTTCTCTATTAATAAAGTACTGAGTATTTATCTTGTTTATTGTATTTTATTTTCCTTTGAAAGCAAACAACATCGAGGTATTTACATTGAGAATATATCCTTTATTTGCATTATAATGCATTAAGTACATACACACATCTAAATGTATGTACAGTATGTAAATACTAAAAGAAATTTTCTTTTTTTCCGAAACGAAAGTTTCAAATTCAAATTTACTTGCATTTATAATTGTCCCTTCTCATTTTTCACTTTTAAAAAGTATGTAAAATGTATAATAATACTATTGAATTTTTGGATTTAGGGTTTCTATTGCATTTTCTCTACGTACATATTATAATAATTGTATTGGAATTGGTATTTTAAATCAATTTGTAAAGTATTCTAAAAACACCATTAGAATTTTAGAAGTTTGAGTAATTTTTTAAGAAATATGAGCTCTTTTTGGAAATTTTGGAAATTATATACAGGGTGACCTAGAAAGGTGTACAACAATATATATTATTGATTAGAGGATCGAAAGTGGGTAGAACTTTTGTTCCGGACTAGGTGCCAAATCTCAAGGGTTTCCAAGTTCCAGAAATTTTAACGAGCTTTAAACAGTTTCTGAAAGACCTAATAAAGAGCTTAAAATAGTCATGCTGTTTGATTTTGTATTTTATGTATCTTCAGAACACCAAGCATTCGAACTTTAGGGAAAATAAAATTTTTCACTTGTTTTATTTTTCAGTTTTTTTTAACGAGATGAATTCGTAAAAAATTTTTCGAAACCTTGAAATTTTTCTTATAGAATTTTGCCCAGCTCCCTTTACTAGGCGTTTCAGAAACTGTTTGTTTGAAATCCCCATCTTTTTCAGAACGGAAGTTATAATCAAAAAAACTTGGATAAGTAAAAATTTTATGAAAATACGTTAAAATCCCTAGAACTCGGAAACCCTTGAAATTTGGCACCTAGTCCGGAACAAAAGTTTTACCCATTTTCGATCTTTTAACCAATCATATGTTATTGTATACCTTTCAGAACCACCCTATATATTATAATGTCGTAATATAATTAGGTTACAAAAACATCTCTTAGAAGTTAAACACCTTCGATAACAATTTCCTAATAAGTGTTTAATTAATTATAGTTACAAAATTTTAGAAATTATACTGTACACTTTGTGTGATGCAATTCGCAATAACATGTTTGTTCACAAAATAATTCAGGATTTGTTATTGTAAGGAAGTAATAATAAAGAAGAAATTTTAAATAGAACTTAATCAATTAAGATTATTCTCGTATATAAAATGAAAATTACTTCTAAGAAATTTTATAATCAAAAGTTAAAATTATTTATGATATTTTTTTCCAAGTTTATTAGAAACATACGCTATTAGTTCAATTTTATAACAAATTTTAATTTTATAAGAGATGCCCTTTAAATGTTTCATTTGAAAAGCTTGTTACTTGAAAATTTCTTAGGGTATGAAGAGAACTTAAACCCAAATATCATAATTATTATATATTATAATATTTGGGTTTAAGCTCTCTATTTTAGTATTTAATTATAACTCAGTGTTTGGGATTAAATTATTAAAAAATCGTTCGCTATAAGGTGTCTGATATTATTACGAGTACCCTATAAATTGCACTGCAAATACACAATCTACACAAAACTACTATATACAAAAATAAAAATATTTAAATATATTTTGAGAAATCATTCTAATAACTGTTTCTGAAAGACCTTATATAAAACTATGCATTTTTTTAAATCTTAATTAACATGTTTTTTATTACAGGCGCAGTGGGTGGCGATGGAGACGGCGATGATGCTGATGCCAAGGAAAAGGCAGAGGAAGAGGAAAGAGAACGATTGGAGGCTATCAAAGAAGCCGAGGAACGACGTAAGGAAAAACATCGTAAAATGGAAGAAGAAAGAGAAAAGATGAGACAAGAAATTCGAGATAAGGTAGGTGCTTTTTTATTACATGAATGCCATCATTACATATAACACATACATATATTTATTAAATTTTGTTAAAAAACTTTTATTTTAGTCAAATCCTATAATACGTTTTCAAAACATTTTCGAAATTTATTTTTATATCATTTAAAATTTTAATGTTAAATAACAGGCAAAAAAAGGCAATTAACTGATTATTTTTCATTGTTAAAAAATCTTAAAATTTGCATATTAACATCTTTATAATTTATTCGGGTATTTAGTACAAATTTCAAAAAATTTACAATACAAAATGCAACCTTTTATGTAATTTGATTTTAATTTTAATATGAACATGAATTTTATTAATATAAGAAAAAAATATGTTTTTTTTTCTTTATAATTCACAACTTCTGCATATAATGAAAATAAAATATCCTTGAATTAATATAAATTTTTGCTTGAAATTAATAAAAATTTATGTTTTACCAACCGCGTTGCATAGAACATGATAGGTTATGTGATCACACCAAATTTCACTTAGCGAGTTGTCAGTGAAAACACACTTTTCCGTGGTAGGGAGATCTGAATAAACTATTTTTAGAGAGATGTCGGTCAGTCGATTTGTCTGTCTATATTTACACACCCGTATCTCAAGTTACATTTTTGCAGTTCTGAACTAACTGATCAATTTTCTTGAAATTTAATAATTGATTTCTATTTATAACCGAAACTTACTGGAAAACTTTCCAGGGAATTGGAATGGCACAAAGCGAAACTCTTCTAAGAGTCAGGCTTACTCGCTCCCTTAAAATTAGAAAGAAATTTTTAAATTTTTAAAACGTATATAATATATAGTTACAATTTCGATAAAGTAGGCAATACACAATGTGAACGGTTATGTGCTGATCACATTCAATTTTTTGGTTTTTTTTGTTACCCAAATCAAAAGGTATATTTTATCGCGTTTTATGTTTATGTAATTTTACTATTTCTATATTATTACAATCAAAAAACATTACTATGGGATTAAATTCTAAAACAAAACAATTTTCGAATTCAATACGATCTTAAACAAAATAAAAAGAATAATCATATGCATATACAATTTTAACCTTTAGATTCCTACAAAAAAATATCAATTTTATAAATTTAATAAAAATTTTTACAATTGCAAAGAATATGTGGGAGTAAACGTAATAGAAAAAATTCTGTATTCTAAAACCCCAAAAATTTTATTTGAATACTGAAAAAAAAATATTGAGAATAAAAACCATTTACTAAGATTTTTGTAAGAAGTCATTTAGTTTTGCATTTTAACCTTCATTAAAATTACAAAATATAGTGTGCTAATTTTTAAAAATCAAACTGTTAGAATAAGATTGAATTTTATGAAATACAACAGCCTAATCGTCAATTACAACAGCCTAAATCGTCAGGAATATAAAAATTTTCAGGCAAGCAATCTCTTTATACGTAATAATTAAATGAAAATAATATTTGTTTGACCTTATTTACTTGAAATACAAAAAAAAAATTAAATTTTTTTCTTTTCTTGTAAAAAATTCTATAAAATATATATAAAACACCGAAAAAATTCTAACGATTTCTACTTAAATCTTAATAACAATTCGGCTTAAAACCAATCTTCTTTGAAAAACGGATAATATAAAATTTTAATTGGAAATTTTTTAAATGTTCAAAACTCTAATATTACTTTAGATTACAATGAATATTTTAGTACAGCTATATTAAAAAAAACCAAGATTAAAAAAAACTTCATTTTAAAATGAGTTTAACCTTAATGTAAACACTTATTTTTTTTTTCTCTCCCTTCTTCTTAATCACTTTTTATCGACTTTGCGTTAAACTATTCTTCAGTAGTTTTTTACTTTCATTTCTTTTATTCTCATAAAATTGTTAGTACCGTTAGTTTTCTCTTATCAAATCCATTTATCCTAATAACATTTTATACTTTTGGGTCTACGTCAGCTTTTCACTTGAGTTTCATTTTTTTACATTTATACGTTTACTCTAAAACAAAATGAAAAGGAAAAACAAACTTAATTTTTTTTAACTTTTATATATTTTGATCCTAAAAATTTTACTCAATAATTTTCTTCGTATAACCGCGTGTAAATGTTGTAATATAATCTAAATTATGTATAAACATTATGTAAATTTTCTGACTAAATTTTGTTAAAATAAAACTGGCAACTAAATTTTTCCTTTTATTTATAAGGCATTTACTTACACTTTAAATTTTCTCGCATGTGTAATAATTTGGACCCACCTTTATACTTTTTCACGTAATATTATTATTTTAATTTTAACATCATTTTTTAACTGTCATTTTCTGAAAGCATATTTTTTACTTTTGTTTTCTTCTTCAAATTTTCTTTATGAATTTTAATACACATAAAACAATAAAATATGTACACGGTATTAGAAATATTTTTACAATCTATCCAAATGTCAGGATATTTTAATTTAAACTCACAATTTTTGAATTTTCCGGAAAAATTTTTATACGTTAAAGTAAAATTTTTTATTTCCAATGTACGATGGCATAATAAGAAAAGGACAGTCATTGTATATCGTAAAACCTCTAAATATAATTTCAAAACTACAATATTATTTCAAATCACGTACAAAATAAAATGCAAACAAATAAGTAAAGTTTGTGCCATAAAAAAGTATTCAATTAAAATTAATTAGTAATTAGATTTTAGGAAATCTCGGAAGTGATCGATCTCTTTCATATTGTAATGAACCAGTTTTCAGTATAATTTTATGTTCAATAGAATTAAATTTTGACAATACTGTACTTTTATCTCAAAGAATTTCCTTTCATTTCTTATATTGGACAGAAATAAAATACTGAAAATGGTGAGTTTCGGAAATTTTGGCATACAAAAGTAAAATCTCCATTACCTTTTTTTTCTCCTTACATTTTACGACAAGAATATTTTACTATATTTTTTTTCCTTTGCTTATAACCATTCAAAGCAATAGAAATTTTTTGATTTGGGTCATATGACCCTACCTATTAAGACTATAATGAAAATAAATGAAAAAAAAAATATAAAACTAAAAACATTAAAAAAGATGAGGGAAGCAAGGAAGAAAGGACAATAATCAAGAGTGATATCCTTGTACAATATTATATTGAAGTTGTTATTTTGAAAATGATTTGAATATGAATCTGTATTAATAATAACAATAATAATAAGGTGTGACAAAAGGTGTGATTTTCATTAATCCGGAAAGAGGGACAAAAGAATACCGAATATTTGAATAAAAGGATTAAAAATGTTATATACATGAAATATGTGTATAGAGAGAAAGATTTATCATCTATTCATTATAGAAAATGGAATTGTCATTCTATAAAATATTAATATTCATTACATAACCTTCATTTACCATTTAATATTGTTAAATTAAAAAAAAAATATTTTAATTCTTAAAACAAATTTTAAATTTTTTTTTTGAAAATATTTCTTGGGAAATAATTTATGACTTCTGAAATTTAATACTTTAATTAATCAAAAAAATTTTAATCAATAAAGTCTGAATATTTTTTACCTTAGTTAAACAAACCCGATTTAAACATAAATTTGAAATATTTTCAACCAAAACTTAAGTAATTGATAATACGAAGTCATAGTTTCTCTAACCATGCAATTTTTTTAAGTTTTCTTGAAATTTGTACACAAAATTTTATTCCCTTTCTTAGGATATTAATATTCTAAATCTAAAAATTCCCGAACAACAAAAACACAATACTTTCTACCAGCTTGTTTCATAGTAAAATACTAAATATATTTGATTTGCAAAGCATTCGAATTGTTGAGAATTTAAAAATTTAGCATTAGTAATTGAAAAATACATCTACGTAAATACAGTAATGCCAATTTACGTTAGCAACAGGAATAATGCCAATTTAACTGGCAACAAGAATAATGTATATTATTGCATACTTTAAGGGGAATATATCATAAATTACTAGTAAATTGCATGAAATTACCTTGCATTAATTCATTTTATTTTTTATAAAAATAATAAAAAATTTAATTCTATTTAAACTACCAAATTTCAATAATGATAGCTTTTTATTCCAAAACGAACGTTCGAATGGTTTACTAAATTTGATTTATTTAAAACGCTAAGAAAATATAATGGTCTGAGATACAAACTCAAGTCGATGTTTTTGATCATCGTCAAATTCTGAATCAATTTAGCTTTGTTTGTCCGCCCATACGTCTGTCCATCCGTGCTAACGATAACTCAAAAACTAATTTAGCTAAGTTCGGGTAGTTGCCATATAACTTCAAAATTAATTTGACTATATCTCTATAAACTATACAAAAGCTTTGTTATTGAAATTTCACACAAGCGAATATATTAGTAGGACCAATGTGTTTGATAAAAGTCGTTGAAATAGCTTGGCTGCTTCTAGTACCTGCTATACAACTTCAATAGCATTTTGGCCATATATTAGGAAATATTGAAAAGTACTGAAATTTTGTACACAAAAAATACACAGAACTGAAATTTTGCATAAACTAATATGGTAATATGGCAACTTAAAGTCTTTCACAGAGACAGCTATGGGATTTTCATAACTCGCAGAGAGTTGGCACGGTCAACTCTATTTTTTCTCGTTAAAAATAATTTTATAACTATTGAAATAATTATCATTTAATTTGTAATTGTGAAATTTAATTTTCTACAAATGATTCAAAAGTAAATTTGAATAAATCTGTTTTACATTTTTTCATTACCATTTCTCTTTAATGACACTTTTTCACATGAATTAACTACAATAATTAAACCTAAATACAGAAAAAAAGGGTGAGAAATTTTTAAAAATTAAAACGTAACCGAAGGAAATTTAAATTATCATTAAAGTCCAGTCTTTATTGAATTAAATATAAAGGATCAGGCAAGGATGACAATTAGCATTCGTAAATTACTTTCCTTGATTTTCTCTTATCATTTTATTCTTTATTATTATTCATGAT